ATATTGCGAATTTGGCCCCAAAATAGACTCACAGAAGCATAATTGTACCACACCATAAAATGTTCACACCGTTTTCAGCATACATTGCACAGTGGGGTGACCCTAACAAAACCTTGACAAATTACTGAAAGGCCTTGTAAAAGGCCACCAAACAATTCTATATATCAGTTTCAAGGCTAAGAACCATTTTCAACTAAATTTGCCAATTTTGGGAATGGTCCCAGAACGGGTACCCTCAAGGAAGTGGCCAAAATGTGTTGAACTAAAATTCAGCATGCGACATTTTTGTTGCAATAATTTGTTTTCAAACTAGCTTACCGATGGTCATAACCTACTTTGCTGCCATGTTTGTCTTAGCGTAGAACCAATTTGTGCTGTTTATCAGAATTGACCACTTCTTCAAGCAGTTTTGGCGTGACTTTCTACCAGCGATTTCACAAAACTGGACCAACTAATTTCTATTTTTTTATGAAACGCACAAATGTTGGTTACTTTCCTCGATGTTCTAGAAGAAAAAATCTCAAAATAATGTTTTATTTCATAGTTCGAGTGGTAGTAAACGTTATTTTAACTGCTCGAATGAAGTGGTTAATTGATACCAATAAACATAATCTTTCACTAACTTTTGAATGTTTCGGGATACGATTTTTGAAAACCTGATAAAAAATGATAGTGCTAGAAACAAAACTGGATGTTTTTTTTTGATTTTCATGATGGAACGACGGTTGACGGTTTATTGAAATGATAAAAAATCTTTTCTTTTCAATTTTATCGATCGGAAATAAGGAAAAAGACATTATAAACACAGTCAACTCTCCACAACTCGATATTCTATAACTCGATATTTTTTTATAACTAGATGGATTCTGCTGTCCCTTCGTTTTCCCATATATCGTACTCTCCATAAGTCGATGTTTCTACAAATCGATGCCTCCTTTGGTCGATGATCTATGTAATGTTATTTTGATTCCATAACTCAATGTGTCAACGGTACAGCTTCTGATTTCCTTGATGTTGATGTTAAAATTTATAATAATTTGTGATGTGTTTGTCTTATTAAATGGCCGTGGGGAATACAAAGAGAAAGTCGACGAAGCGAATCTGTCAATGTTACTTAGGACCTAATGTAATGTTCAGCTTGAATTATTCCGTCTCATGCCAGGAAGAAGAAGAATAAACACTACTATAGAAATTCATGGTGTCTACTACCTGGAAAAACCTGGAAAACCTGAAAGTTTATTTTGACCGGAAACTTGGATTTCTCAGGGATTTCAACATTACTCAGAGAATTTTCAAATTCTCTTACTAATGATTCTCAATTAAGAATATAATACATGCAAATATTTGATTTTCCTCGTCAATTTCTTTTACTCATTGAACTTATTAGATCCTTAGTGGACTTATTTCCAGAAGCAAAATAAATTAAAAAAAATCAGGTCCCTGAATTTTTTTTTCAGGTTTTGAAATATGGATATTTTTTACAAATTTGAAATTTGATCAATTTTGAAACTCTGTACTCAAACATAATAATACTTGGAGACATTTTCAAGAACCTATTTCCTAGGTATTTTTCAAGATCACAGATTTGAAAAACATCAAGATTAAGGACCTTGCATAATTTCCAAGGCTCATGAAATTGGATGATAACTTCTAAGGAACTCATTCCAAGGGAGTTCTGGGAAGAACTGTGAGGAAAACTTCAAGTGTAACCTGCTTTCAATGTAGTCCTGAGGTACTGCAGATTCTATCTGAAACCTTAAGGTAGTTCTGAGTAGCATCCCAAGTAAACTCTGAATAGGATTCGACATACATTTTAATGAAAATTAATTCGAATTTCTGAAGTTCTTTCCTAAGGAATGCTGACGAAGACTCCAAGGAAATTCGAAGAACGAAATTCTGAGGATAATTTCAACAAGTTTCAGAAAACTTCAAATGAACTTAGAAAATAATTCCAGGAGGCTTCTGACTGGAATGCCAAATAAATTTTAATGAGAAATCTATGGAATTTGATACTTCACTGCAAGCGAATTCTTACGGAACATTCAAAATGAGTAGAATTCCAAGGGAAGGATTAAATTCAGAGGGCATTCTGAAATAAATTCATTGAAAATTCTGAGAGTAATTTTAAAGGATTTCTTACTGATTGTATCTTCGCCATTTTTTGGATCGACTCATATTTTGGGGTATTGAATCAAACTTTTCAAAATAAAGCACTCTATTGAAGGCTGCTCAAACTCTGCTGGTGAGTGCTGTCAGAAGCAGCATGTAACAATTAATTACAGTAATCCACAGAGAAAATAGATGAAGATAATCGATCATTGCTGTGAGGCCCGCATGATTCTGAATGCTAGAATCTTAATTTTGTTTATTGATTTAGTTAATCCAAAAAAAAAATGATAAAAAACAACTGTCTGGTTACCAGCAATAACAGATGATGATAGTTTAAGAATTAAAAATGATGCTAACATGTCAATAGATCTGAAATCTGATCCTTTTAGCATTCTGATGGAAGGAGGTGTGTTATGATATAAGAATCACAACTCTTACCTTCCTGTTAAATTAATTAAAAGTAACTTTCCTATACAATACATTCCAGATCATGATCAAACATGTACCAATTATGGCTTATCGAAATCAACTTAGATTTTCAAAGTCTTCCGCTCCCTAATAGGTCGACTGTGATGACTTTGATTGGTAGACCAACCATCTGTGCCTGCTGAACACGTTAGTGGTGATAGATCATGACTAGGTTTTACGATGTTTTTCCATCAGAATACTCATAATGTTATGTTAACTCATCTCTGATTGAGTTTATATCTGTTATATTAGATTTGGACAATTTTAAAACAAGCTTTGCATCATTCTACTCCTTAGCAATCAATTTTTATTACTAACGTCTTACTTTCAAGAGCTTTGCTCCTAAATGTAATCCTGTTTATAATTGTATTGCTGCTAAATTAAATTAAGACGAATTCCTGTGGAAACCTTATATCTGAATAATCTCATTGTCACCTCGAAATTTCAAGAGCACAAATATTGACTCTCGCAAAATATACAACAATGAAACTGATACTCCACGTATGATGCAGTAACAGTGAGTTCCAGTTACATGAGCGATGTCGCAAGAGTGTCCGAGATTTGTCCTCTAGAAAATTTAATAGTGATAGTGCATATCAGTCATTATGACGGCCATTTTTGAACTCTTCAAGGAATCACCTTAATGCTTTCACAGAAAAGAATAAATAACGGCCTTCAGCAGCACATCTCTCTTACTGTTTAGTATGTATTTCCTGAGATGTCTTTCGCTCCCTTATGAATTATTAATTTATTAATTAAGAACAGATTTTCCACTTTTGATTACAAAGTCTACGTCAAAGTCAACAAAAGTAAGTACCGTAAAACGGGATAAATTTGATCACCAACATTTCTCATTGTTTTTTCAGGGAGTATCGACGTCATTCATATTGTATCTGAACATAAACAATGACCATGACAATAAACCTCAGTGATCAATTTTAGCCCGTTTTACAGTACACTCTTGTGAACGAATGCACATTCAGAAGAACTTCGGGTTGTTTGTTGGTTGGAAGTGGAAAAGACAACATATGAAATAGGAGAAATGTCTCTAATGTTGGCCTATGGATCTAACATTGGGCCCATCGCTAAAAATCTGCTATTTATCAATTTCATCTAAATTAACGCGTTATTGGGACGTTACTAATGGATATTTTGGTTGCTATTGAAAATTTAGTCGATTGCTGAATTTATATACATTACCTGCATTTCCCCTACCACGGGAATGCTGATTGTATTTAAATACTTTATTAGCGAGATTTTTAGCTAATTGGAGCTGACTTAATTACAACGCAAAGAGAACTACATCACCATTTGTAAGTTTGTGTTATCACTGAATTTCATCAGCTTTAATCGGTATTGAAAAGCTGTATAATATAATAGCTTATCTGCTCAAAACGGAAAATCATTCCAAGCTATAATTTATTTTTTATCGAATTAGATATAAAGTACTTGTACACACTGACAGTGCCAACTATCAAGTTGGAATGAGAAAAATTTGAATCTACGTTATCCTAGTTGCGGCTTTTACAGTAGATGCTAGAAGCTGCAATATCCTGCGGACAGAAGTAAAATGAAGTTGATTATCCTCATTCTCTGAATTCCAATCAAGCACTATCAGGATGTCGCTACTGTCCTTTTACTGACCGTGCGCCTTTGGAAAGGATATGAGATCGTAGGGAGGAGGTGTAAAATAAATTAGCAATGCTAGGTCACATATCTCCCATACTTTTGAGTAAAACGTTGAAAACGAGCTGACATTCACAGGTAAAACGCAACAATCTTCATTCTTTGGTTCATATGTGTAGGTATTTTATACAGTACGAGAAATTCCTATAAGCGCATGGCTATTTCAAATGTCAAACCGAAAACAAAAATATTGAGTATGTATGCATATTTACACCCATTGTTCTTAAAAATAAAAGAAGTGGTTTTAGCGATTAACTTTTTTCTACCTACCTCCGTGTGACGAAGAAAATCAAATGGCGTTTAAATGCGTTTGGACGGAATTGAAGCTCGTATTCTATCTCAACAATATGTGACTCTTTATCAAATCTTATTAAATTTGATAAAGAGTCATTGAAACAGAAACATTGATTTTTTTTATCGCGTGGGTTGTGCTATCAATGCTTTTCCTCTATGCGAAAGAGTGACTCACACCATGAAACTAAGACCTACATCAACTCGGGATGAATGCGTAGATTGTGCCAATGTTATAGAATTTCGCATCTAAATTATAGAAATTTCATGTCAAATATAAAACCAAGGAACAAATAGAAATTTAAACACTCATAATGACAAATGCATTACATGGCTTATGTAATGAGCTGATATGTTAGATTCTTATGCAGTAATCAAGACATTATTTCGAAAAACATCCATGCGCTTATAGGAATTTCGTTCACTGTACATATAGGTATACTCACATTGTTGAGTTGTCCCATTCCAACTGGCTAACATTCTTGTAGCGTCCGTTGATAACCTCCTCATCTTCCGAGTCGGAATTTTCCGACTCTGAGCTCTCGTCCGAGAGGTTATCATTCTGCATTGGATTTATGGTGATGGTTAGGGCCGAGTCATCCCAATCCAGCTGCTGCTCAGGAGCCACCTTTGGGCAGGGTTGGTGCTTTTCCAGGTTCTGGGCCTGACTGGCACTACTTCCGCTACCGTTGTTCCGCAGACGGGCAATACCAACACCGCAGATTAGCAGCACAAACGACGCACATATGACCACGATCAACATGGTCGAGTGGGACGAGGCCAGCTGCGCTTTCTCGTGCGCCAAATTGTGCACTTTGGACTGTGACTCCTGGATGTCGTGCGAGTGCAGCATCGCATGAGCGTACTGGTTTGTGTCTAGAAATTGAAAAGATAAAGTAAAGAGTAATTTAATTTAGAACGTAATTTAGCTACAAAAAAAATTAAATTGAATTCATTCAATAGAAGAAATAAGTTATTATTTTTTCGGTGAGGGGAATTCCAATTCCCCTTGTTAACCATTTACATTCAGCCAACTGCTTCGTATATACCTACAGATGTATATTAAATCAGCGAGCTTGTGCTTGGGTGCTCCATTTAATGTCAAAAAGTTAATAGCTTTTTGCACGGAAGTCGATTCGATTTGTAATTTTCGACAAAATTGTTCTGCAATATTGAGCTATGTGTGAATTTATGAAAAGCAAGTGCATATTTTCTTTCCGTTTACCATACGTTTTCCATATTTTAAAACTCTTCCGTAAATTCAGATCGCTACCAAATTCGTTCACATGTGGCACAGTTGATGAGAAACTAATTACAAATCGATAAAGCAATGGGGAGTGAGAGTAAACTTGACCCAAATAGAATGAAATAGATTGTTGCTTATTTACTAACAAAAACTTGATAATCTCAAGCATGCCAGCAACAATTATTAAATTATTCAACCATTTTTTATGCACATCAAATGAATCATGTGCGAAAATGAAACCAATTTTTTGCTATTATTATGCTAAAATTCACGGAAAAAAGTTGTTTTTTTGTAAAGTCATACAGTCCTGCAGTTCATTTTTGCATTAATTCTGTTCAAATAAAATAATGTACTGCAAATCATCCGGACAACCCAAGAAAAATATGCGCATAATCATTTTTTCTATCAAGCCTATCATTTGTCAAGGCTTGATGTAGCTTTATGGAGCCGAAATTCATTTTCTAAAAATAACGATAAGACGCAACTTGGAGCTAAAGTTAGAAGAACGAGGATATATTATTCCCGGTTTGCTCGAGTTTAGGGACTACAATTTGTAAAAGGATGGAAGGGTATTTGAGAACAAAGAACACCAGGATATAATTGGTATTACACATTGGGCCAGGAATAAAATCTGGCTGGACATAATTAGTAACTCTTAAATGAAGCATTTCCGAGATCGGTGCCATCTGCAATAATTAAAATGAGGATTATGTATTGAAATAATCCGAATGGATGGCACCAAAATCAAACTTTTCATTATGAAATTTTAGTGACTTGACGTATTCAGTAAAGTTGTTCATTTAAAAAATAATCAACTCTGTCAAAAAAGCAAAAAAAAAAACACAGTCTACAGTTTACGAGTCATTCAGATATCAAAAAATGAATTACTGATAGAAAATGTAATTCTTTTTCGATTGTTTTGGAAAAATTGTTGTTATTTTATCTGCTTTGAAATTTTCCGTCCGTTTATTTATTTTTTAAATTTGCCTATTTTTGAAATGATATTACCTATAACTTTTTCTGATTTGCAGATAGAACCTTCTTGTCTGGAGTAAAGTTTTGTATTTTATGTATTTTTAAAAATTTGTAAAAAAGTTGTGACTTTAATACCAAAAACAAATAATGTCGGAAATATTTTCAAAACACTGGTTTCTGAGGTCCTTTTATTTTTATACGCTTCATAACTCAGAATCGCAAGCAGATAGAGACATAGCGTTTTCTACAAAGTTTTTAGTTATAAAGCAACTTACAATTTTGCTGAAGGCTCTATATTTCTATCTGGCCAAACTAAAAAGTTAAATTTTGCAGCTCTACCTGTGGTGAAGTTTCGAACTATAACTTAACTTCATTCAATGGGTCTTGTCATTTGCAAAAACTCTTCTGTAGACACCCTATTTAAAAAAAACACTGTGAAAGGTGCTAATGAAAAAAGTTCATGGATTTGGCCTTTCGCACCACTGTGCACTGGTCGTCGCCAAGGCGAACGGTTTACTCAGTCCAATAGAGTTTCAAATGTGCATCATATAAGGGAAATGTCTCTAATGTTGGCCTATGGATCTAAGATTGGGCCCATCGCTAAAAATCTGCTATTTATCAATTATATCTAGATGAACGCGTTATTGGGACGTTACTACTAATGGATATTTTTGGTTGCTATTGAAAATTTAGTCGATTGCTTAATTTATGTATGGGCCCAATTAAGGGATACTTAGGCCGACATTACCTGCATTTCCCCTATATATATATAACATTAGTATGGTAAAAAAGCAGTACATAGATACTTACCATGCGAGTCTGCAGCGACCGCAGCACTGGAATGTATCTGACCATCGGGAGCCGAGGTCGGAATGACTGACGGTACCGCCATCAGCACGTTGGAGGATGTGGCTGCAGACGTGGGCTGCTGTTTTGGATGCAGCACCGTCAGTGTTAACGTATACTCTGCATTTCGGAAACGATCGTCCACTTGAGCGCAGGTCAGCTTAAATACCCGGTTTAGGTAATACGCTGGTTTCTTGTTGATGTAGACCAACGATTTCAGGATATGTAGATAATTTTCAATGGAGTCATAACCAATCATTTCAACTCCATCTTTGCTGATTTTAGTTTTGATGTCAAACTTGAACAGCGACTCATCGGTTCCATCTTTGTCGTCGATAGTGATTTCCTCGTGATCTGGATTAAGGCTAGGGAAAACGATGACTTGGCATGAATCGAGCTTTTGCAATGCTGGACGGATTTCCTTGCCAGTATAAATACTGATATTGATTTGTGCTAAAATTTTCACTCCATCCTTAATGTCCGGGTATGACACTAAATGATTTGAATTGCCAGTAATTGCAATTTGTGGTTTTTGATCAACTGTTAAGGGTTTGTCGACAAGAATCTTGCTGTATAAGGTAGCTGATGGCGTAGCTGGTGGGGATGTTACATTAGATGATGTAACCATAATATACGTATCAATTGTCGGTAGTCGAATTGCTTTCTTGTTTGGACAGCTGACAGTAGTCATGACTTGGATATTGCGACGACCGATTGTTGGATTTTCCTTCGTGTTGATATACTGGATTTGCTGTAGGAGCTGCTCGATATTGCTCTTGTTGCTGCCTTCAATGATGATTTTGTTCATCTGTGTATTGGACTGGATCTGCTGTTCTGGTTCCAAGAAGTGATCTGGTGGAGGAAGCAGTTTTTCAGCACAGTCAGTTCCGCAGCGGATCTGGTTGGGTGTCAAAACCTTTTTCAGTGACAATTTTATTTCCGAAATATCTCCACTGAATCCATGCTTCAATCGATTTTCCGATCCCTGATAGCATGCGCCAATGGCGAGAGTAGTATTGATACCATGTGCAGCATGCAGTGGCCAATCGTCGATGACTTCCGGATTACTGTGACGATCTTCTACATTGCTTTCGAACTTAACACCATCAACGTAAAGGTCAATTTTGGGTAAATCTACATTGATTGTGTAATGATGCCATTCGTTATCGCAAACCTGGGGAATCTTCCAGCGCCATTCTGCTGGACTGAAGATGTTCAAATCACCGTCATTAAAGTTTTTACGCAGCAGTAAAATTAGTCGACAATTCCTGACAAATAGAGCCATGTGATGGCGATTCATTTTGTGGTCGTCAGCACTGCAAATAATGTGCTCCTTACTGTGTTTATCGTTGGATGCGATGCTATGATGGCGGAACATTGTCATCATGCTGAACTGGTGAGCAGCGAAATCTTGAGATTTGACCACATTTTTCGGAATGATTGAACCCGTGCTTCCGTCAAAGTGGAAAATCGATTCACTTCCCTCGTCGTACATCAGGTCCTTAGTCCACTCAGTATTCTTTTTCAAAAGGTCAATTAACCCACTCTCAATCTGCTCTTCTTCGCTAAGTTTCTTCAAACATTGGCTTGCATCCCGGTCGCAGCCAAATGAAATATGTTTAGTTTTGAGTGAAACCGAAGACTGAATAACCATATCTTCCCCTTTGCACTGCATATCGCAAAGTTCAAGGTGTATCTTCGGGAAGACGGATACGCTCTCCATTGAGTTAGCAATGTAATCAATTCGCTCGGCTACTCCCATCACGTGCGCTTCACAAACTCGACGCACACGGATGTTCACCATCACTGGGGCAGATTGCTTCATCGCACAATCATAGGCCACAACTGACAGAATGTGGTTATGGGACGCTTTGTGCGACAGTGGCTCGGTGTTTCGAATTGAGCCCTCATTGTCGATCGTGAAAGGCTGATCACTGGTGAGAATTTCATACTTGCACACATCGCCGAAGAGGGGTGTACAGTCCTTGTCTGTCGCTTCCACTCGGATGATTTCCTGATACAGACGACCTTCGTCCACCTGCAACAAACAGAATGAGAAAATGGAGCGTTACTAATGTGTTTAGTCATTTACTTATTATGGCCCGGGTACACAAACTTTATCGAAATAATTCTCATACTGTGGCGCTTGCAACCTTTGTATTTTGTTTAAGAAGATCGTAAGATTTTACCGCATCGACTTGCGAAAGTTGTAATCGTTCGTCGCATACAAAGATGTTTACTTAGACACTAAATGGGGTGGGATTACATTTAATTAGTTTGCTCTCAGAATGAAAGGACAAACATCAAAACAAGAAAAAGTGTTATTGGCTTATCAGTAAATTTGTCATTCCATTTCACAGTGTAAAACAAACTCTCTGTATTTTCAGTCGACACAACGCTAGTACAGCAAGTGAGTACATTAAATTAGTGAATACATTAAAATAAAAATAATTTACTTGGCAGACAGATTTTACGAAGAAAATGAAGAGTGAATTCTAAATCTTGACTGATGCATTTAAAGCAAACATAATTACAATAACAAAAATTTCCACTCAATATCCGTTACGCAATAGTCCATGCATAAGTGATCAAAAACTATCTCTGAAATCAAATTTATTTTGCTTGGTATCTTTATTTTGTATTCTCATGTGAAGGTTTTGCTCATGTCAGATTTTGGCTACTTCCCCGAGGACAGAGTACCCTCAACCGGTGGAAACTAACGATTTTAAATTGGCTCACTACTTGACTAGCCTATTGGTCCCAAGCAAACGATTAACGTACTCCATTCTAGTCGAAATTCTAGTACTACACTATGTTTGTTTTGATTCACTATGAAAGTTTGACAGACAAAATGAGGGGTTCGTGGATTTTCCTATGTTTCGAGGGGTGCATCGATTAGCTTGTGACCGAAGATAGTACCAGAGCTGAACCAAAAAGTTGAACACGTTTCTTCGGGACCTTCTAGTCTTAGAGTTACCTCTATGGTACCCTCCAGCAGGGATGCCAGCTATACAGACATTTTATCAACCATACGGACATTTGATCAAGCATACAGACCTCGATTGAGTACGTACATTATACAGATAGGCCTATTCTACGCGGCGTGTGATGTGAGGTAACAGTGAAGTGATGGGGAAGTGACAATTGTCGCCTCGGTTTACAGCGTGTCACCTCACCTCACCAGCCATGCAGAATAGTCATGAGATATTGGTAGATAGATACACATGTGTACAGACATTGATAATTATCCATCAACATTCAAAAATAGTTGCAATTAAAAATTGACTTGATCAAAATATATACCTGTTTATTGTACAGCAAATATTTGCCAAAATGCTGGGTAAATACTCCTACTCGTATGACACGAGTTTAGCGATTTCATGGATTTCGCTCGAATTTGCGTGTGTGAATTTCACACGAATTAGTTGTTCTGAATCTGAGATTAAATAAGTTTCAACTTTAACCACTTCAAGGACAAATTTTCAAATAGACATAAGGGTTTTTCTTAAAAATTCATTAACTGTAATTTTCTCATGGTAGCTTAGGGGGAACTTTCTAAGACTTCTTGGGAACGTCTGAAGAAGTTTTTTTAATGGAGTCATTGAAAGAATGCTCTTGTTTTATAATATTGCAATGTTTGATGAAATTTGACGAAGGTCCATAAAGCTATCAGAATGCATCTGAACCTCTCTGGAGTTTCTGAAGCAGCTCTGAAATCTTATTTACTCTTAGATCTGATCTTAGAAGTTCACTGAGCCTATCTGAAGTCTCGCAATTTCTTCTGTTCATTATCTCCCTGATTACCTAAACATTTATCTGAGAAGTTCAGCCGAGCTCCAGACAAGTTCAGAGAGCCTTATAGAAGTTTGATGTACTTCAGGAAAGTCTTGCAGATTTTAAATACATTTTAAAAGAAGAAATGTGGTCTTCAGGGAAATTCAGTTAAATTTGGAAAACAGCTAGAAACTTTAATGAAGAAAGACTCAGGAAAAAAATATTACAGAAGATTAGTGCGGAAGCCTGGAAAATTTCAAAGAAATAACTTTAAAGACGCCCAAGGCACTATATTTTAGTTTAAGTCATATTAAAAAGATTCAACGCCCTTTAAAACATCGTGAAGGAAGCTTGGAGTAATTTCAGACAAGTTCAAATTAACCAAAAAGTAGTTTAGGAATCTTCAAAAAAGTTTAGAGAACTTGAAACAGCAGGAAACAGTAGGAAATTTGTAATACGATTTAAGAAAATTACAGTGCATGAAAATACTTTAAGAACATAAAATAAGTTCTGAAAACTTCATAATAATTAAGGGAATCTCATGGAAGTGCAGGACACTTCGTGAAAGTTAAGAAAGTTCTTAAAAAGTTCAAAATATGTTCATGGAGGTTCACAGATCTACCAAAACCCGTCGAGATATCGCTGAAAACTCCTAATTAAAAAGTGTACCTTATATCTTTGAATCAAATTAGAGGTGGATTTGGTGCTGATTTTATTTCACAACCCTGAAAATGACAAACATTTGCCTTACCCGCAATAATCTTTGCCATAGTCCTAGTAAGAGTATTGAATTTGCAGTGAGCACACTTTCCAAAACAGAGGACCGGTCAATCACTTTCCACAATCCCCACAAGACAAACGCAGCACTCTGTGACCATACGTAAACAGCAGAGAAACAAGTAAAAATTAAAACAGAAATTTACAATGTCACAACTCTCTAAAGGATTCCAATAGCGCCTGCGGGGGCAACGTTCAATACGTGCAAGTGTATCATCTTCCATCAGAGGTCACGGATTGCGATTTAGAATTGGTGCTGGGAAAATACGGTGATGTGAAGCGTGTCATTCGGGAGAAATTCCCACGGACTTGGGCCTCGACATGTACAAAGGTGTACGGGGTGTATATATGGTGCGTAAAACAGGCAATTTCCAGCTCGCTGCATTTTCTTAATCGGTTGGGCAGTGATGCATTGCTCTTTTGGGTATTTTTCATTACTTTTTATTTTTTAATGCTATCGTAAAATCCAGTTGAATTTTCAGTAAGCCCATTGTAAAAAATATAGCTTAATGCTTTGCATCTCCCTATCAAAATACAAAATTTTCGCACCGTAGAGCTACACTGTGTCTTTTTACTGAAGGTGCACTCGAGAGGGCTCTCAAGTGTAAATTTAGCGAAAACACAGAGTGCGGCTATGTGGTGCGGAAGTTTTGAATTTTGATAGGGAGATTAGTAGCACTTAACTATCTATTTTAAGATGGATTAACTGGGGGCGACCCCAACGTTGTGGTTAACATCCATACCTCACACGCCAAAGTCACGAGATCAAATCTCACCCGGACAATTCACGAATGACCCAAGAGTGTTAAAGTGACTATAAAAAATATATCATATATCAATATTATCAAGAAAACAAAAACATGTGTTTCTTACGAAGGGGGGGGGGGGGGCGACTCTATCTACGATGCAGAAAAGATTGTGTTTTGCTGTGGTTGGCTGCGAGTAGATAGAAAGAAGATTGAGGCCGATTCTGAAGATTTCCTGCAAAAGATTATGCAAGTAGGTAAATGCGAGAAATGAAAGAAGCTTTGATTCGGTAGTGTGAGATTTTATGAGCATCTAGAATTGAGATTTAGATGTGTCGCCCCTCTCGGTTTCAGATTCTCAGTGGAAGGTTGTGTTTATCAACATAATAAACCTAATTATTATTTTCAGTTGATAACTAATTAATGACAGACTTCTTAAGAGATTATTTTTTAAAGTTTATTTTTTATTTTTAGTTACGGCCAATATTAATTGATGCTTTCAGTAGCTGGGTCACATAGGGTGTCCCAGAATGTCTAAGCACGAGTTTAGAACACCCCTGCTTGTTTCAGATGACGTTTAAACAGCTGATTATCACGCTGAATCATTGTTTACATTTCGACCAACAGTTTCGTGTATCCCAAGTGTCGGTTCTTTACATTACCATGACAATGCGAAGCAGTTACGTTTTCGATTTTTTAAATCGTGCTTAGACATTCTAGGACACCCTATATTCGTTCAATTATCCTGCTTATCCTATTTCGCACTCTGCCGGGTAATTTTAGTCTTGCTAGGCTACAGTTGTAAAGCAACAGTCTTTTTGATGTATCAATAATGCTAGTTCAAACTAGAGGAGTGGATTCAAAACAAGCTGCCTTGACAACCTATGCCTGGGTGGTTTCTAGCAAAAAGATAGGCGCTTCTTGATTGGCTCTAGCTTTGACTATTCGTTTGACTCAAAACCAGCCAGTCCACTTCTTTCTTATACTAGACTACTCTTAGATTAAACCTATAATAAGCACAGTAGGAACAGAAAATAAACTAGCAGGGGAAATGGATGTAATGTCGGCCTAAATGCTCCTAATTTGGGCCCATACATAAATTCAGCAATCGATTAAATTTTAAATAGCGACCAAAAATATCCATTAGTACCGTCCCAATGACGCGTTCATCTAGATAAAATTGATAAATAGCAGATGGGCCCAATTTTAGACACATAGGCCAACGTTAGAGACATTTCTCCTATTTTCTCGTTCTTCGGAGTTACTGTTACTGTACGAACAATGTCACGGAATATCAATAATGCAACTCACTTGCGACATCTCGTGAGCTATTCGAGGAATAAAGCTTGCTTGCCAAGTCTCAAACAATGTCTTATCTAATCTAATCTAACACCAACACAGCCAGTTCTTGAAAGCATCCTGGAAAATGATATGTATACTCACATCATTTTTCTTGTCTATTTGATATATTTTTCACATCGAAGATGCGTCACACATATCAAAACGGCCAGGCCTACTGTGCAACATTTAAGGGGCAAGATGATTCAGAAAACATCGGACCTGTTTAAATCGAAGATTTAAATACGATGCTTCAGAATCCAATAAATACGTTCCGATTTTGGTAATTATTTGCCAAGTCTCAAACAATGTTGCATACAAGTTCCATAGGATGTATAGAAACGTCAAAGTGATTCCATGCCAGCGCTGTGTTGGGGGATTCATGAATCGAGTTTAATTGAAC